TCAAATAATATCCTCCTTGCTCATGAGCTCATCAAACATTATGGAAGGAAGCAAACTTCCCCCAGAGCTGTCCTTAATATTGACCTTCGAAAGGCCTTTGATACTATAAATTGGGATTTCATTGAAGCTATGCTGACAGGTCTGGGCTTTCCAAACATTATGGTGAAATGGATAATGGTATGCATTACTACTCCTAAGTTTTCCATTTCCCTTAATGGCTCTCTCCACGGCTATTTCCAAGGGGCCAGAGGATTGAGACAAGGGGATCCTCTTTCCCCATACTTATTTGTTCTCGGCATGGAATATTTGTCTAGAAAGTTGAATACCCTCAAGCATGATAGGTTGTTCAAATTTCATCCAAAATGCTCAAGATTAAACATCACCCATTTATTCTTTGCTGATGATCTTCTTCTCTTTGGTAGAGCTGATATGAACTCCATTGTCAAACTTCATAACTGTATGAATGAATTCAGTAAAGTTTCTGGTCTGGATATCAATCCAGATAAATGCTCAGTATATCTAAGTGGTATTGATGACAACCTAAAGCTCCAAATATGTTCATTTCTGAATTTCTCTGAAGGTTGCCTACCGGTTAGGTATCTTGGTATGCCTCTTATATCTAAGAGACTTTCTTGGATGGACTGTTCCCCTCTAATCAGCAAAATCTCTGAAAAGTTCCAGCATTGGCAAAATAAAAAGTCCTTATCTTATGCTGGAAGGTTGCAATTGATCAAGTCTGTCATTTTGGGGGTTCATATCTACTGGACAAATAACTATATCTTGCCTAGTAAAGTTCTCAACAAAATTGACAGATTATGTTCTGAATTTTTATGGAATCACAAAATCCCTCTGGTTTCATGGTCAACTATCTGTCAAGAGAAAAAATATGGAGGATTGGGTGTCTTTTCAGCTAGAATCTGGAATCAAGCTGCAGCTCTAAAACTTTTGTGGATGATTCATATCAAAAAGGACCTTTTGTGGATAAAGTGGGTGCACGGGAATTATTTACTAAATGCAGATATCTGGAGTGTACAGGTTAAATCAAATTGCTCCTGGTTGTGGAAGCAGCTTCTAAAAACCAGAGATGTTCTGATTGCTAAACTTGGCAGCATAAATAACCTGATTGCTATTATTGGCAAGTCATGTGTGGGTGATAAAATTCAGGTTTCTTCTGTGTACAGTTTTTTGGTGCAACCTGCACAGCAAGTACACTGGGCTAATACAGTTTGGAATAATATTCATTATCCCAAACATTCTTTCATCCTATGGTTAGCTATTCAATCAAGATTGATTACTCAAGATAGGCTATGTCGGATGGGTATTCTTAATGCAAATCAATGTGTGCTGTGTACAAATTTTCAGGAAACCTGTCACCATCTATTCTTTGAATGCCAATATTCATCCACTGTCTGGAATTTGGTGATGGATTGGATGAAGTTCAGCTGGAAATCATGCATATGGGAGAGTATCATACACTGGTTCAGCCTCAGGCTTAATAAGAGGGGATTTGCGGAAAATTTAAAGAGACTGGCATTTGGAATAACAGTATACTTCATATGGCAAGAGAGGAATCTTAGGATTTTTCAGGGGAAAACTATGCTACCTGAGATGCTGTTCAAAGCTATAAAGATCTCTTTTTTCTCGAAGATTATGAATGAAAAATATCCTGCTCACTTAGAGGAGAGAATTAGAGAGTTATAAGTTGTTGTATATATGCTCCTTGTGTATGCACTATGAGTGCTGAGGTTCTCAGCTATGGCTGATGGTGATATTGTACAAAAATTCTCACTTGGAAAATGAATAAAAATTTTCATTGACCAAAAAAAAAAATCATTGTATTTAACTTTTATTTATGAGAATCACTTGTAATACACTTGTACACCGAGAGAAGTGTGAGGCGAGACACGGGGTCGAATCCAATAGGAGTGGCGTCGGTTGACGAACCTAGGGAGAGGTTGTAACCGAGCACTTGAGGAGGAGGACACGGGGTAGGTTCCTACACTTAGTGTGTAAAGTGTGATTGCATAGTGTTTGTGTAGTGTGAGAGTTTTCGGTGATCTTGTAAACCGAGTGTGTAGAAGTTCCGGCTTCCAAACCGGATTGTGATAGTGGATATCTCCTCGAGGTGAGGAGCGGGGACGTAGGTCGTGGTGACCGAACCTCGTAAACATATCGTGTGTTTGTGTTTTGCTTAGCGTATATTCTTTTTGTGCTTATTCTTATTATTCTTATTCATATCCATCTCTTGCAAAAATAAATTGATCTACATAATTTTTAATTGCTAATTAATTAGGATTAGATTAGCATAAGACCCTAATCACCCCCCTCTAGGGTCTAACATCTTGGAACCGTTTATCTCGAGGGAGACACCGACAGGAAGCGGTTTTTAACAAAAATGAAAGTGTCGATCGCGTCTTGAGGTGGCCTCGCCATTTCGAGATCGCTAGGGTTTCTTCAAATCACCGATGAGAGAGAGAGAGAGAGAGAGAGAGAGAGAGAGAGAGAGAGAGAGTAACTATAAAGGAGAGTAAATCGCCCAAACCAAACTGAAAGAGATTTGAACGTGGGAGGTTGGGCTTCGGCGAGGGCGTCTGCGGAGTCGGCAGCGACCATTAGGGGGAGAGGGGAAGTGAGTTTTTATTTTCTTTTTTTATTTCCTGAATCCTTTTTAGAAGAAATATTGAGAGAGGAAGAGAGAGAATCGTGGAGAACGTGGAAAGAGAAGTTTGAGGAAGAGTACGGAAATTTTGAGGACGTGGCTGGTGAAAATGCCGATTAGGATTTCATTGTTCAGAACATTAAATTACTGTTCATTTTAGCTTTTTTGTTGTTCTCATTTAGTAATAAAGAAATAGATTCGAATGCTAGGAAAATTTCGGATCTTTATTTGGATGCGATTTGATGGAAGTATTTTTCAAAAAAGGGTGAATGCCATAAGAAGATCACGAAAAGGATCCATATGAGTTGGTTCATTAAAATTGATGATTTCATATGTTAGCTTGAATTTAAATTAACCTACCCGGTTTCGTGGGATTTGGATCCTCTCCACTACAAAAAAGTAGTGGAGAGACCACTACTTTTAATCTCAAGCATTGATTATTTAGTAGGTGGTTATGATACAATCTAAATCTAACACTTACCATACCCCCGTGTATTGCACTCATTCCTAATTTGTACTAAAAGAAAAAATCATAACCATCAACTAGATAATTAATGGCTGTGATTATGTAGTGGTCCCTCCACTATTTTTTTTGTAGTGGAGAGAATCCGAATCAGGTTTCGTGGTCCAAAGTTTCGTGTTATAAACACAATAAGTAGGCCATGAGGCCATATCTTTTGTGATGATTAGCCTTTGGAAAGGGTAAGTTTCGCTTAATCCTCCTAAACTTTGGGGATTTTTGCATGTAACGCTCGTAACTTTGTTTATTGCAATCGGCCTCTTAAAATTGTTGCGCTCAACCTCCTAAACTTTTTATTCCACCGAGCCCCCTGAATTTGTTGCACTTAACCTCCTAAATTTGCAGGTTGCTGCATGTAACCCCGTGACTTTGTTTATTCAACTTAGCCTTTTGAACTTGTTGCGCTTAAGCTCCTAATTTAACACGGAGAACATTAACAGGTCATGTGCTAAGCCCATGACATAAAATGAGAACATGCCCCTCATTTTATTAAAACTTATCCATATATTTTTACATTTTTGGGGTTTCCACCTCTCTTTTTCCTCCCCGAGCTAAGTCAAAACATCATTTCTAATATTGAGTGGAAGGGAGTCGGTGTGATTAGTGGGAGTTTTATATGCAAAAAAAGACCATGTAGGCGTGTATCTTATCATTTTATTAGTGGGGAGTTTTGTGAATAGGACTGAAATGAAGGTCATTTTTAAACAAACAACATTTTGGTCATGGCACAATTGACAAGTAACAACGTCAGGGGGTTTGTTGTAATTCGTCAAAGTTTAAAGATGTTAAATCATATATCCCAAAATTCTGAGTGGTTAAAAAGTGGAATAAAGAAAATTGTGGGGTGGCATGCTCAACCGGTAACATTTCCGATTTATTGCAAATATTTCCGTTACGGGCCTGTTGGTTTGCCTTAAAAAAAAGGGAAATCAAAGAAATAGAAAACTATTTCTAAGAAAAATAGGTTTTTGAATTGTTTGGTTGGCTAAAAAAAAGGAAATCAAAGAAATGGAGATGAGATGAGATGAGTTGTCACATTATTATTGGATGATGTGAGTGATTTTTTAAGAAAACTAGTTTTGATGTTGTTCGGTTGGCGAAAAAAATAAGGAAATGAATTATAAGAAACTTATTTCCTGTAGTTTTGTTGTTTTCTTTTGTTTGGTTCATTCTTAAAAATAAGAAATGAAATGAGATGAGATGAGTTTTAATTGTATTATTGGGTGATGTGAAGAAAGATTAAGAAAAATGTTTTCACAACTTTTTGGGATGAAAACAAAGAAATAAAATGTTAATGAGATGAGGTGAGATTGTTATAATATTTTATTCGATGATGTGAGTGATTTGAAATGATGAAAAGAGATGAGTTGAGTGATGTTTGGATGAAAATAATATTTTATTAGATCTGATGGATGAGTTGTTAGATGAAAATAATATTTTATTAGATGTGGTGGATGAGTTGTTAGATGAAAATAATATTTTATTAGATGTGGTGGATGAGTGGTTAGATAAAAATAATATTTTATTAGATGATGTTGATGAGTTGTTGGATGAAAATAATATTTTATTAGATGTTGTGAGTGAGTTTTAGGGATGGAAATAGAAGAAATGGATTATTTTGAGATTTCCACTTTTTCCATTTCCATTTCTTGGTTTTTAGGAAATAAACGAACAGTCACTACAGAGAAACCTCACAATCATCAATAACTGCCGATGGCATTCTCGTTAATTCTCCCAAAAACTAGACCCTTTTACGTGACGGAAACTCCACCCCTTTATATAATCCCCCGAGTCAATTTCCATCGTGTTCGTTGCCGTCTCCCTCCAACAATCTCCGCATTTGACCCCTCTCTCTCTCTCTCTTCCCCTTTTGTTTCTCTCTCTAAAAAGGTCCAATGCTGTCCCTTCCATTTCTCTCTCTAAATCTCGAAACCCTAGAAATCTCTCAACCGAAGCCCTAGATCGCCATGGCGGAGTTCTCGATCGGCATCCTCCTACCGTCGTGGTGGGAGATCGAGGTCACCGTCGCCGCCGCCCTCTTCGTGGTCGGCGTGTTCTTGTTTTTTGAAAGGTTATCGTTTTCCTTGAGGGAGAGTGAAGAGAAGAGGAAAGAAGACGCGGGGATTGTGGGGGATCCTCTTCTGAGGGAATCCGATGACAAGGTCAGATGCGATTATCTTCAAGATTTTTGGTGAATTTATTGAAATCGAATACCCTTTTCTGTGATATGAAAAGCTTTTGTGCTTTAACACGTTTAAAAATGTTGCAAATTTGGGGGAATTGATGTAAAGATGGTTGTTTGAGGAGAGGGATTGCTTTGATCATGACTAGTGTTTTTTTGCGAAATTTGTTCACGTACTGTAATGCTTGTGGTTGGGATTGTGTACATTTTATATTCTCAAGATTGAAAGTGCGTATGAAATTTTGTCGATTGGAAGAGCTTAGTTGGTGCAACATTGAATATTTCATTGTAAGTTTGTGCTGGTAAAGTGTATTGTAGAAGTCATGGTTGTTGTTTAGTGCGTCTTTCCAATTTGAAGACTTAGTGCTCATAGTAAAAGCAAAATGCCCTCTTTTGATCCCTTTGGATCTGAAGGTTGTTCGTGACAATCTAGTTTTAGTGCCTAGAGGTAATTACCTAGTTAAAGGATGGTGTGAGCGGTGTTTTAAGTTTTCATTTGTAAAAACTATCTAGGTATTTAAGTTAGATTAGTTTTAATTGCTGATTGCTTTGTGATGTGATGTTAAACATATTTGGAGCCATGCATATTTAGTTTCAACTTTGAACTAAGGCATACAAATATATGATAGTTTCATTTATGTTTGAATAGCTATCCGATTAAAGGCTGTATAAATTCTCTAGACTCTGGTTTTACTGCTAGTATGCTTTTCTAGTGTTGGTTGATTTTACAAGATTTCTGAGAGCAGAGAAAGGAAGGCCTGAAAACAGTAGGAAGGAAATTTATGGAACTTAGAGCTTAAGGATATGTTTATATTAGCAAGCGGCACTGTTTTAAAAAACCTCCGCCTAGCCCGCTTAGGCGTACGCCTAGGCCTAGGCGGTACCTAGGCCGCCTAACTAGCGCCTAACGTCTAGGCGGTATTTAGGCTGCCCACCTAGATTTTACGAGCGTTTAGGGGAGCATTGTCTGCTTACGTGGATTGCATCCTGTAGGCATTGATTGTGATTTTACGTGTCGTAGCCTACACGTCCTCCAAACTCCATTAACCTCCAAATATGAACACCTCCACTACCTCCTCCGACCTTCAGCAAAACCTCATCGATCATCACTTAAATGAAGAAAGAAAAAAAAACGCCCAGAAACCGCTTAGGCGTCCGCCTAGGCGACTAAGCGCTGGGCGCCGAGTCCGACGCCTAGAAGCGCCCAACGTGTAATGTAACATTGGCAAGCGGAGTCCCTAATCTGTAGATTCTGCCAACAAACCTGCTAATTTTTGAATCTTCTATTACAGGAATCTAAGTGATCAAACTAATACACAATGTCCTAAAAATTGGTGGGCAGGACCGACACTCTATATAACTGTATATAGTTAGATTTTGAATAGTTCTTGATGTGTTTTCCTATACTTTTAACTTTATTGTGCAGATGGACTACTTTTGTTTTGTTCCTTACACATATTGTTAAGAATATATTCTAAAGATTGTCAGCTTAAATTTGCTGCCCTCTGTACCCACCATGGCCAGTTACAGTCTTCAGTGAACCACCAATTTTTAAGTGCAATGTTTAAAGCAGTAGATGCACACCTGATTGAAACATACCATGCTTTCTTCGTTGTTAAATATCACTATCACAAATTTAGCACTGGGATCTGGCTCATCAGTAAAATTTGGAATAGGGGAAGATTAAAAATGATATCAACAAATGGCTGGTGAAACTTCAGAAAGAATAAAAGGAAATGACATGATCCTAGAAAACCTAGATCATGCATCTTACTGGTACATTCTAAAACCTATAATATCCTAGAAACAAATTGAAAATTTTGCAACTAGTTGAAGATTCATGACTAGAATGCTAGTGCAAAGAAATTTCATCTACGAGCTTGACAACAATTTTGAAACTTTTCAATAACTTGGGAAACTTTATACTTCAAGCTGCAATGTCCTTATTTCCTCAGTGCTAGATTAGCTCATGAACTAGTATGCTTCTTTGCCTATTAGTTTAGATTGGAATAACTCCAATGAGGATTGCTCACAGCAGTCCAAATCATGCATTTTCACATGATCTTTTTCTTTCAATATGAAGAAATTAGGAATGTTTGTAGGCTTATTGTAATTATCCTATCAAATGTGATATTTAATTTACTTTGAAATTGATTGTCCAAATTTCAAAAAGCTTCAATAAAAGACTTAGACCATATTATGATGTACATTTATATACTTTTACTAGTTACATAAAGTAAAAGCTTCCATTACAATCACATTCTAGATCATTACTGAGTTATTCCTGAATGTTGCACTTGAGTTGTGTTGAGTTATTTAGACACTAAGTGAATTAGTCAATATTGTAAGGACCTAATTGTAAGAATGCATTAATATAAAAGAGGGGGTCTCTCAATGAGAGAAACTAACCGTAATTTTCACCCAAATATCTTCATGGTATCAGAGCCAGCCGCCGCTGCCAACCATCTGTCCTTCGAAACCCTAGCCATCCTCTGAAACCTTCCACGAGCGCGAGCAGTGAAGAACTTGACGAGCGCATCAGTCGACATATCGAGGAGCTGGTCGAGATCAACGCCCCTGAAGGCGAAGTTCCTGATCGTTCTCCTCTTCGACTGGCCTGTAGCAACATCGGTCTGAACGCCGACAACCTCAGCCGCTGCGAGAGTGGGAGGAGATGAAAGAACAAAACCCTAGCGAGAGTGGGGGTTGAAGGAAAGGGAGGAGGATGATCGGACGGCGGAGAGAGGCCGACAACCCTAGCCGCTGGACGAGTGGGGGGAGATGAACCCCAAGGTGGACGCTGGAGGAGTGGTCGGAGACCGCGAAGGCAGAGGAGGTGACTGGACTGAGCGTTGAAGGAGTTGTGAGTCGGTGATTTTGTGATTTTTTGGTGAAGGAGATGTGAGTCGGTGATTTTTGAGATTTTGAGGGGAGAGTAGATGACCAGGACCAGGACTATTGCTGATTAAAAAAAAAAGAGAAAAGAAAAAAAAGGAAAAAAAATGGAATCTGTAATCTGTATTAGATGATTTGTATTTTTTTTCTTCTTTTCTCGAATTGTAATAGCTTGTTTAGGTTCCCTCGACAGGTCAGTCCTAGAACTGATGAGAGAAGAGCTGATATCTCACTTGGTTGAGATATCTTATTTCTGGTTCTTGTTTCCTTGGTGAAACATGAATTCTTATTGATCTATTTTTCTTGTGGTGCCGGGTGAAATATACCCTTGCTGGGAGGAGCCTAGAGGGATATCTGACAGGGGAGAAGACTGAGCCGGCTGAGGGCTCAGCGGGAAGAGATGAGTGGAAATCCACTCATATGTTGGTGTACATCTGGCTTCTAAATTCTATAGTCCAGCCAATTGCTGCCACAGTGGATGGCCTTGGGAGGGTGCATGATGTCTGGGAGAAGCTGAGGAGGACCTACGATGGGGTGGGAAATAACTTGAGGGTATTCCAGATCGAGAAGGAGATCAGCGCTACAGTCCAGGGAGAGATGACTGTACAAGAATACGCCACAGAGCTGGAACCCTTGTGGCTCGATCACGATCACTTCTCGCCCCTAGCGAGCTGCAAGGACCCGGAGTGCAAGGAGCGCGAGGCCTCTTTGCAGAAGAGGACCATGTTGTTTCTCCGAGGTTTGGCTCCAGCGTATGAGCAGAGGACGGCATTGTTACTAGCCCAGACGAAGATCCCACCACTGAAGAAGGCAGTCTCGGCCATGATACAGGAGGAGAGCCGTATCAGGCTACAGTCTGGGATAGGTGGACTTACAGGGGAGAAGTCTGCACTAGTGGTATCCAACCCGGATAACACTGGATTCAGAAGGGAGACTAGGCAATGCTTCAACTGCGGAGAGGTAGGGCATCTGAGACAGATGTGTCCTAAGCCATCCAGAGAAAGGAACTGGGGTGAACGTGGTCAGACTAGTGGCCGTGCAGGTCGAGGAGGCAGGGGGCGTGTAGGCCAAGAAGTTGCTCACCTAGCTGTGACAAATGAGTCTCAGACTACCGTTGGGATGATTGGAGCTGAAATAACAGAGCTGGAGGAACTACGTCTGTTCAAGCTTCAGGCTGAGAGTTCGAATGGCAAGGGACAAGTCACCCAGGATCTGGCTACCACTACATGCTTTGGTAACTGTTGAAATAGAGAATTTAGAGAGCTTACCTCTTCCATTCATTCACATGAGTTTATATAGGGTTACATATGGGTAATAGGCTAATGGGTTAATGGGCCCTAACCCGATAACCAAAATACTAATTCTAACACTCCCCCTCAAGCTGGAGCATATATATCAACCATGCCCAGCTTGTTACATAGAATAGAAAACACCTTAGGTGATGTAGTTTTAGTGAGAATGTCAGTTAACTGTTCGGAGGATGGAGTGAACTGAAGAGAGATCACTTTCTTTTCCCAAGCATCTCTAACAAAGTTACAATCAACTTCAATGTGCTTAGTTCTCTCATGAAATACTGGATTCTTTGCAATATAGATAGCAGACTGGTTATCACAATGCATAGGCATAGGACCAGGCTGAGTAAAACCAAGCTCTGTCAACAGTTTCTGTAACCATATCATCTCACATGCAGTGTGAGCCATAGCCCTGTATTCTGCCTCTGCACTAGATCGAGAAACAACATCTTGTTTCTTGCTCCTCCAAGTAACTAGATTTCCTCCAATAAATGTGCAAAATCCAGAAGTAGACTTCCTATCTCCTATGTCTCTCGCATACCCAGCATCAGAAAGGACAGAGATGTATGTCTCCTGCATACCCAGCATCAGAAAAGGCAGAGATGTGTAGATGTCCATGCTTCTTATACAATAATCCTTTTCCAGGACAACTTTTGACATAAGCTAAAATCCTCAAAGCAGCAGTCCAGTGAACCTCTCTAGGTTTGTGCATAAACCTGCTTAATACTCCCACTGCAAAGGTAATATCAGGTCTAGTAACAGTGAGATAGATTAACTTGCCAATCAGTCTCCT